TTATAATTGTTTTACTTTTTAATCAACTTTTTATTTTTTTATTTATTTCATATTATTATTTTTTTTTTTAGTTATTAAATTTTTTTAAATTTATCAATTAATTTTTTTTCCACCTAACTTTATTGCTATCACACAGAAAAAAACAATCCCCTCTGTGATAGCAATTGGAGGTGACAGGTTCTCTTAATTGACGCTGTCACCTCCAATACAGGAGTTCTAGCACAGCACTGTGCTGGAACTCCTGTGACAGGTGAGAGAGGAAGAGCACGGCACAGCACAGCTCTCCCCTCTCACTGTCTACACGGAGCTGCAGGGTTAGTTTTAACCCTGCTGCTCAATGCAGTGAGGAGACGGACTCGGCGCCGGGGCCCAGAAGACGGAGCCAGAGGAGAGAGGTAAGTGCAGGGGGGAGGCTGCAGACTGTTTACATGTGATCTCAGCGACATCACCGAGTTCACATGTAAACGAACAATCGGCTGCCTCCCTCTACATTTAGTCCTGCTTGTGCACAGCAGGACTGAATGTAGAGAGGGCAACTTCCCCACAAGGACACCGCTGCCGCCCCGAGGCCGGGCCTCGGTGGCCTTGTGGGGAATCCGGGCCTGACAAAATTGATATACACAGATATAGTTCGAATTTATAAAGTACCAAGCTACAATTTGCAAAATATTGCTCTTACCCTTGGCTTTCCTTAAAACGTCAGCTGAACTTTCTGTGGCAGAACTTTCATTGCAGAATTGTTTTATTTTTCATTAAACTATATTTCACATTACTAATTCCTTCATTGTGTGAAAGCTTTGTGATACTAAAGTCTTATCCCAAATAGTTTGAAATAAAAAAAATCTTCAAATCCAATGTAACAATATAAATCTCTGACACATGTCACTATCTGGATTAGTAATTATTCTTTGGCTGGTACTTCAGAGAGACTCACAGTGATAGCATTACTCTAATCCTAAATGGATTTTACAGTAGTTTTCTTTTTCTTTTTCCCTGAAGTACATACTGAACTTTCATTGAAAGATAATCTAAGACAGTTCATTGAATATCAGCGTGTCTGCTATTCCTCACTCAATTACAGCAGCAACCCTGAGAACAATGTACGCATTGCACTTACCTTCACGTGTTACATTAATAAACACCCATAAACATATGCACACATTACATGTGATAATAGTTGTATATTTCTTTTGTGGGTGCATCTTTCTTTTGGATTTATTTGTATAATGTCTGTGAAGGTTCTCATTCATCCAGGTCATGGTATATCTGTAAAAAATAAGTCAAGGCAACTGGACTTGCTGTATTTTTCTTGAAGACGTTTCACTGGTCCTCAGACCAGCTTTCTCAATTAAGAATGACTTACATACAGAGAATTTTTGTACAAGTCATTCTGAATTGAGAAAGCTAGCCAGATGACCAGTGAAACGTCCTCAAGAAAAATACAGCAAGTCCAGTTGCCTTTTTTACAGATTTATTTGTATAATATTACTAATACTGTATAAATAATGTCTTTTACCTTTCTTTTGGGTTAATTGTATAACATTACTGGTGCTTTAGAGATTATGATCTGGATTATATCAGACAAGGTTTCTAATTAGAGCCTTGGTTGGTGATTTTCTGATTAAAGACTATCTGATGCAATTAATGAAGAGGAGGTTTTTCGGTTCCAATTTTTTTTATATCTTTAACTTCGGAAGACACACCAGCAATTAAACCATAGGAAGTCCTAAAGTACATAACATATTTCGAAAAGAAAAAATGAGACATTGTCAATGCACCTGAATTCTGAATGATCTCAGAAGCTTCTTAAATTGATGCTATCAATGCTAGCAAGAAGCCTATTGACAATAAAACCATATTATATGTCTGTTTTTGAGCATTTGTTATAAGCACTGAGCTCAGTCAGAAGAGCTTTACAGCCTGACATTTGGCTGACATTATATTACTTAACATTTTGTACTATAACATTTTGTATATCTTACAATCTAATGAAAACATGTCCTTGCTTACCCTAAATGGACCTCCATCTCCATCATCCAACTCGAGAATATATCCTTCTACAGGGTTGTGGGCAAAGGGTGGCATTCTCCATGCAAGAGTGACGCTGTTATTTCTAGTGCAGCATTTTTCCAGTTGCAGTAGTGGTACTGGGGGTACTGTAACGGGAACTGAGTACAGATTAGTGTAACTCTGCCCTTTCATCCCCAGCTGTTTTATACAGATGAATTCTTGTACTTAAATATATATATAAACACTCTACCAAAGGAATGAACATGAAGTACAGACACTGAGATTGCTGACAGTATGCACCCTTTCAATAAAGGACACGATTGTCACAAGCTGTTTAAATGTAATGCTTAGACAAGGATAACGCATTATAAACAATGATATTATTTCTGTTTTAGAGAAAGCTGTTCAGCCTCTGATCGCTTAATTTTCCTCATGCATTCTTAAAATGCTTCACCTTTTAAATAACATACAATATGGAGATGCAAAGTCATTTTTTGAGGTATGATAACATACTTTTCTTTTAGCATACTGAACTGAAATCAATGGTAAAGCACTACCCTTTTCCCACAATGTCATTATGCTTCAAAGACATTTAGTTATAATTAGATTCATAAATATTATTAAAAGCTCTTTTACAAATACCAACTTGTTAATTTTAAAGAGGAACTTTGCCCATATATTTTAAAAGGCAACAAAGGCACCTTTAGAAATGTTAAGTAATGACAATCTACAAACAGATACTTATAGATAATTGCAGGCTTTTTAGTATTTGCATACCTTATTTTTATTTTCTTCCCCATTTTTCTCAAAGTGGCAATTTTTACTGAGGGCAGATTATGTTATCTCCCTTTACTTCCTGGACCTCTGGCACATGGGACTAGAACATGTGACTATGCACATCATCTCAGCGGAGGTAAATGCCTTCCCTAAGATCTCATTAGATTACAGATACGATTTTCCAGCAATACACTGCTGATGTAATCTTCCCAGGATGCAACACTTCGGGATAGCTTACATCACTAATGCCCAAGAGGAGCAGGAAGTAGAAAAACAGTAATTGTAGCTAAAGCAAAATATGTTTGTTTAACTAATGAATGTAAGATGATTTCATAGCAGTATGCTGATGTGATTTATAGTGAAAGGGGTCCATTATTTGATTTACATCTGCAGTACTCTAGGAAATTATGAAAAGGTATATGTAATCACAAGTTCTGTCTTTTGTTTTGACTTTCTCTTCCATTTTAGTATCCTTTCCAATACCCTTATGACCCCATTTTTAAAATTTTCTCCTTTTTTGCTATTTTTTAGTTGTTTGTGTACCTAAAGTTTATCTTCTAAAAACGTAAACTGAACAATGAAGATGCATGTTTAAAAAAAAAGGGATAATCAAAGGTTGTAACACTACTTAAAGCTAAACTTAGAAAAAAAAAGGGTATTTGTTGTTCACTGACCCCCACTGTTCCCCCCATCTAGAAGCAGTTGCTAGTGCCCGTGCCTGTACTCCCACTGGGTAATTTTTTCTCCTGTTGACCACTGACACAGAGCACTTTCTTCCTCTCTCTGACCACCAACTCTGGGCATCTTTTCCTTACGCTAACCACCAAGGCTAGGCATTTTTTCATCTCCCTGACCACTAACACTGGCCTTTTTTCTCCTGCTTACTGGGTATTTTTTCTCTCCCTGACCACCAACACTGGGCATTTTTCTTCCCTCTGACTGCCAACTATTTTAGTTGGCAGAAGAAAAGTTCTTCTTTGAGGTAAGCTTAGACAAAGTGTTAGCTCTTTGTCCATATTCAGTCTTATTTTTAAAAGTTGATCGTTGAGATTTATGTGTGTCTGTGAAACTCTTACTTATGCTACAGTAGTCAGGAGCATATTGTGAGTACAAAGACTGCGACATATGTATGCAGTAGGCGTAGACTACATTTAACTGTGTGCCTTCAGGCCATGCCCAATATCCAGTGCAGTTTAGCCACACCCACTTATTGCCATGGAGCGCTGAACACACTGCATGTTTTTCCAGGTTGTCCCTCTTTCTAAAATTTTGATGTGGGGAGGTATTTATATGTAATTTACCTGACTAAAAAAAAATTTAAACAATAATATTTTTAATGTTTATCTCTGAACATAATAAAAAAAAATACATTTTCTTTAATTGAGTACAACCATATCTGCTTTCCAGATACATAAAGAAAAGATTTTACTTGTAAGAAAAAGAAAACTTCTTTGCAGTCTTCTGAAGACTGACGGTTATTTGAAGTTGGTAAGTCAGCAGAGAAAATCGTTCACACTGTATTTATATATAGCAAAATGTCACTAAAGTTCTCAGAGTCTGTATTTGACATGTCAGTCATTAGATATCTTCAGTCCACACTAACATCTCCTCAGTCATGCACCTGTATTCATTAAATGATAACAATCAGTCTCTTGCCACGGGTTTTTTACATTTTCACCTTCTCATAGACAGCATTCAAATACAAAGCAAATAAGAACTGTGAGCTCACCCTTACATTTCATCTGAATGAAATCCAGCTGGTGAATGGCCTGCAACAAAGGCTCGCTGTCCAATGTAAGGTCAAACTCAGGAGAGACTTTGGGTTCTAAGGCACCTTTTACCCACTGATCTTGAGAGCCTTGAACTCGTTTTATCAAAGCATCTGAAATCTTCAGAGGAGAAGAAAAACCAACATAGATTGAAATCAAAAGCCACATAATCCTGTAGCTAGCATGGTCTACCTGACTTTACAGGTGCATTTACTGAAATAAAAGTTACATTTTAGAAAAGAAGACAATGTTGGTAACATAGCAGGTGAGTCATATATCCGTAATTCAACAGTTTTGAATACAATAATTTAAAGAGACACAGTTATCAAAAAATCAAAAACTTCTGGAGCAATACATATCTGCAGCATACTCTACCACCATGCATTTATGGCCAGATCCTGGGCCGTTTTGACAGGCAAAGTTCTGACATTTCCAGGTAGTGTTGGAGCTTGCCTTCCACTCCCCACACTTCTACTGGCCCATCACTATGATGGGGTGCCTCAGTGGCCAATAGGAATGTGCAGCAGGAAGCTAGGTGCTGTCAGGAAGTACACAAGCTTTACCTGTCAGAACAGGTAGAATTTCCATAAAAAGGGAGGGTAGTAGAGCCTACTACAAGAGTACTGAAGAGTTCAAGTCAATCAACTCAATTTACCCTGAATCCCGTTCCTGGCAGTAACTTACCAGCCTTACAGCTGTATAATCCCAGAAAAAAAAAAGCCAGTGTAGGTGCTTTGAGGGGAGGAGCAGGGTGAGCTGAGATATGTGCCTGAACAATTTAAGTGCTTCTGTTGTAGAAGGGTCAATTTCTCCACAGTGCCTGCAGGTACAGAGGTAAGCAAGAGCTTGCTTTAAAGCTCATTTACTGCTTGTTAAGAATATACAATTACTTGAATGTCCATAGCTGGCCAGAGGTCAATTTTCAGAAAACCAAGGGGATAAAGACCAGAAATATAAAGAAAAGGGAAAAAACCTTCACCTACGGAAGGGGGGAGGCTAGGACTGGCAAGGAACATATGACATTTGTAAGAAAAATCATGTAGAGTTAAGGCTTAATAGAGAGCGGAAAAAGCGAGAGTTAACTTTCTGTCATTTCAGGGTTTACCCCCATCTTACAGAGATATAAAATAGGATTACAAAATCATGAAACTTTTTGAACAACTTTTTACTTCATTTGTATTTATTGGGACATATGAGAATTTTATTTAGTTATACTGTTTTATTAAACACCACACATATATAGTTATAAATAGACAAAAATTAAAAACATTTTTGAATAACTAATAGCAATTCAAATGTCACTACAGATTGTCGAATGCATATCGTGTTTACAGGGACCCCAAATATGCAAACGTTCTGATATAAATGATTCTACAGTTGGTTGATATATATATAGATGAGATGCACAGCTGTTTCTAGTCCCCCGTTGTCGACTAAAAATACAACCTATTTTTTTTTTTAGATAATTAGCATCTGTTTCCCATGACAAAATTGTGTCATTTAATAAGTGTGTTATGAGGACACCGATATTTTTTTTCTTCTAATTTCACTGAACATGAGCACAAATATGAGTTAAGGAAAATCATAAGAATTGCAGGAGAAATTAATCATTTGTCAAGAAATTAAGATGGTTAGATAGAAAACTAACACTGATTTAGATTTTGTTTGAAAGTATTTACCAAACTATCTTAAACCTAGAAGATAGCGTTGGGACTAAAAGAATTTCACAATGTTTTACTGGTTCCAATATGGCCATACATTTGTGTTTTGGGCCTTTAATGAGGATAGCTCTCAACAGATTATATTGTTGAACTAATGATAGACTTATCTAAGCCAAAAATAGATGCTTGGAGACACGTAGGCAAAATGTATAAATCCAGACATATCCATGTTTTAGCCCTTTCTTTGTGAGTTGAAATATCTTTTACCATGGTGTATTCAAAGCATGCTTTGGACATACACTATATTGCAAAAAGTATTGTTACACCTGCCTTTACACGCTCATGAACTTTTATGGCATCCCAGTTTTAGTACGTAGGGTTTAATATTATGTTGGCCCACCCTTTGCAGCTATAACAGCGTCAACTCTTCTGGGAAGGCATCCACAAGGTTTAGGAGTGTACCTATGGGAATGTTTGACCATTCTTCCAGAAGCGCATTTGTGAGGTCAGGTACTGATGTTGGACGAGAAGCTCGCAGTCTCCGCTCTAATTCATCCCAAAGGTGTTCTATCGGGTTGAGGTCAGGACTCTGTGCAGGCCAGTCAAGCTCCCCCACCCCAAACTCGCTCATCCATGTCTTATGGACCTTGCTTTGTGCACTGGTGTGCAGTCATGTTGGAAATGGAAGGGGCCATCCTCAAACTGTTCCCACAAAGTTGGGAGCATGAAACTGTCCAAAATGTCTTGGTATGCTGATGCTTAAGAGTTCCCTTCACTGGAACTAAGGGGCCAAGCCCAACCCCTGAAAAACAACCCCACACCATAATCCACCAAACTTTACACTTGTCACAATTCAGTCAGGCAAGTACCGTTCTCCTTGCACCCGCCAAACCCAGAAACGTCCATCGGATTGCCAGACAGAGAAGCGTGATTCATCACTCCAGAGAATATAATATAGTAGGAAACCAGATCCACTCCTTACCGGAAAAATTGTAAACCTGCAAAGCAGGTGGGTGCTTGTAGTGACCACGGACGACACCGTGAACAATATAGAAGCAGTAAAGATTGTCACCAGCACACCACAAATATTGTACAGCAAAACGTCCTTTACTGACAGATTGCCATTCAGTACAAGCGCTTTCGGGGTCTCAGAAGTACCCCTTCATCAGGCTCAGAATGGAGAGGAGGGGCGTGGCCTGCCACTTGTGGGCACAGCCGGGAGTGAGCATGCACGGGTGCCTCCACAGCAGCTGCTTAGCTTATGGCGGCACCCGTGCAGGGGGTGG